CATTTAAAGTACTACAGTTAATATTTTTAAGGGAAGTTTTCACACATGCAAAAATGTAGAGTCTGGTATAATGAGACATCAAGGATTCATTGCCTAAATTCAACTTGTCAACTCAGAATCGATTGTATTTTATCTATAGATCCTACAAAACACCCCATCCACCCTTCAGTGGATTGTTTGTAAGCCCGTTTTAGATATTATATGATTTCATCCTCATGTATTTCATAATTAGCCAGTAGGGATCTCATTAATTTGGACCTTTATATTTTTGACATGACTAAAATTATCTATTAATTATTTCATTTGCATTACCATTTGCACAATATCCCAGGTACATCTTGTACCTTTTCTACCAGATTTGGAATCAGGTTTTACTTTCAAAGGAACCCTTGGGATTCCTTTGGGATTTGCATATTTTTAAATACTATTTTGGGGTGCCTCAGTGGCTCATTGGGTTAAGTACCTGACTCTTGGTTTTGGCTCAGGTTGGGATATCACAGGTCATGGGATCTAGTCACGTATCTGCTCTGGGCTATATGTGGAGTGGGCTTGGGGTTCTCTCTCCCTCTCTCTCTGTCCCCCACTCGTGTTCTCTCTCATTCTTTCAAATAAATAAATATATCATTGAAAAAAAAAAAGACACTGAATCGTTGCCACTATTCAAAAAGGAGTTGAATTAAGCCACTATTGTGTCAGACATATAAACTAATAGAAGCATGAAAATTTACATTTATATTTTACAGGTAGTAAGTGAATTTAGGTAACATATTTTAATATTGAATATTTAAAGAGCATAGTTTTCAATATTGTATTTATTTTTTATTTTATACATTTTATATATTATGTGATTGAATATATCATAAATATAGGAATTATACCATATATTATGTATTTTATGTAGTTTATCTGGAGTAAATAATATACTGAGGTAAATAGTTAGTTCATGACTTCTAAGACTCTTAAGATAAATTATATTATAAATACTAATTGAGTTGGATTTTCTAATTCTGAGAATTTCACTTCTTAAGAATTGTAACATAACAAGACACTTCTGCTGATATTGTAATAAAGCATTTCTCTTAGGAAGTTAGTTTCTTAATCAACATATAATTTAAATTCAATTTGTTGACCAAATGACAATATGTACAAAGTCATTAGGAATTTTTTATATAAGTAAAACAGAGATAGAAGAAATTACTTTTTGTCTACATAACCAATATTGTATTAGTTCTAACAATAGATTAATTCCTTGGAGGCAGAGGGAAAGGCTGGTTGATTGATGTTATAAATTATTAGCCTAAGAGTTAGGTTTGACCTAATTATGTTCAGTAAATAGCATTTTCCTTTGATTTTGATTTTTAATTGAAAGTATACTACATTAATTGCAGAAGTTACCTTTTCTAGTCATTTCAATTTTAGTCTATAGTTTTCATTCAATGGAGAATAAATTATTCCATTAAATATTCTTGCCAGTCAGAATCGAGACATAGTCTGTTCAGAAATGTCAGTTTTCTGAATATGTTTAGAACAGAGTTAGAACTAGCAACACAAGTTTTAAATACCTGTCATAGGCTGTGACAGCTTAAAGCCTCCCTACTTCACATTACAAAATAAAGTTGGAAATTAACTTGCACATTTTGTAGTAGGTTGAATAAGTCACAAATAACAGTGTTCTTCCTTTGGATAACAAAAGAGGGAATACAAGCACACATAATTAAATTGATGATTTCTGTTTTCTTCCTTGTTGGGAAAAAAAAAAGACACAAAGAATACACTTCATAGTAGGTTGTTAGCAATTCATGAATTCTTCAGCACTTACTTTAATGTGAATATTTGGTATTATTGGGTCAGCTGTAATAGCACTTTTAAAGTTAACTGGTGTTTTACTGCAACAATGAATATATTTTAAAATCAAGGGAAAAGAACTCAACATAATGTCCCCTCTTATATTCAATATTCTAATATGCTTAACTAGGTTCTTGTATGTTTTTGCCAAGTATAGGAAATTCGTGATTACACAATTATTTTTTTCAAATGCTTAATACATTCAAAAGACTATAGTCGGAAATAAAGCGAAAAATGAGATGAAACAGATTTTGCCCTCCAGAAATTTTCATTTTTCTTGAATTTTTGAACTCAGGTTGACTGTCACAATTAGGAGAGTCTATAGATAACCTGACAAGGTTATCTTATTTATTTATTTTAAATCTCCAACAATAAACATTTACTATCATGCTCAAAGATCTATTGGGGGAGCTTGTTTTTAAGCTGTGGGTCTGCTCATTGACTGGATGGATTCTGCTCCGAATCTTTTGTTCTTCTGGGATCAATAAGTAGGCTACCTGCCAATGTTCTCATGGTAATGGCAGAAACCTAGGAAGACAGAGCCTATGTTCTTACCCAACTGTGCTAGTGCACATCAAGCCTTTGCATGAACCATCTCTGCTACCCTACTGTGGAGGCAGAGAAAATTAAGGCCATTCCACCTTTAAGTTCAGCATTGGCATTCTCAGGCCCCTGTGAATAAGAGCTGAATTTTACCTTACTTCAGTTACAGGAAAAAAACAAAAAACAAAAAACAAAAAACAGCTCAATGCCCTTGAAAGCCCCATATCAGAATGTAAACAGAGCTTAAGAAATTCCTACCCCCCCCCTTCTGAAGGTCCCCTAGACCAGCCCATAAAACTAAGCTGAAACCCACCTCGGGGTCCAAGTCTCTGCTCTGCTGTGTCGGGTATACTTGGACCCAAGCTCGAGTTTGTAAAATAAACTTCTGTGTTTGCATTGGTGTCGGCTCTTTCGTGGTTTCTCGGATTTGCAATCTTGGGCACAACAGTGGGATACTGGGGATGATGATGGCAGGAGTCAATTCTACTTCTATACAATATCATGTTTTCATTTTAGTGCATGTGCTGCATCCTAGAAAATGGCTCTCAAACCCTCCAGGGTTATGGAGAAGACTTTTGTATGCCAGTGTGTGTGACAGTGGAATGACACGATGCGTACCTCCAGCTGATGTGCTTATGTGGGAGAAGCAGTGGATCCCAGGGTCATGTGCCTTTCAGAACACATCCTTCAGTGTAAAATGTATCCCTTGGTCAGAGGCTATGTTCCAAAAGATTCCACATTAGTAAAAAAGTAAAAATTTAACTTTAAATACATATTACGGGAGGCCTGGTGGCTCAGTGTTTGAGCGTCTGCCTTGGCTCAGGGTGTGATTCTGGGTCTGGAGATCAAGTCCCACATTGAAATCCCTGAGAGGAGTCTTCTTCTCTCGCTGCCTATGTCTCTTCCTCTCTCTCTCTTATGAATAAATAAGTAAATATGTATGTATGTATGTATTTATTTATTTATTTATTTATTTATTTATTTATTCATTCATGAGAGACACACACAGAGAGAGAGAGAGGCAGAGACACAGGCAGAGGGAGAAGCAGGCTCCATGCAGGGAGCCCAATGTGGGACTCGATCCAGTACCCCAGGATCATGCCCTGGGCTGAAGGCAGGCTCTAAACTGCTGAGCCACCCAGGGATCCCCAAATAAGTAAATCTTTGAAAAAATACATTACTTTCTGTCTAAACAAGTAAAATTATTTAGAATATAATGATTTTCAGTTATGTATTAGGCTGAAGAAATAATATGTATTATTTATTATATATTATTATTAATTTATATATATATAACTTACATATAATTTACCACATATGTGTATGTGTGTATATATGTGTGTGTGTATATATATATATATATATATATATATATATATGCTGTACATTACTACAGACATTTTAAGAGTTGTTTAACATGTTGAAAACAAAGTAACAGGCCCAAAATGGAATCACTTATACCAAGTCCCATGTCACCAGACTTCTCAGTCCTAGCTTTCCCAGAAATGGAGTCTCAAAACCTGTCAGTCAGGAAGCATGTGATCAACACTGGTTAGGTGATCTGCCTAAGATCCCTCCCATCCTCTAAAATAAAGTAACTTTATAAAAACAACCTTCTTTTTTTTTTTTTTGGTAATATAACTAACTTCCTTATTCTTGCTTCCTTCTATCTATAAATGTGGAGGCCGAGAAAATTAAGGCCATTCCACTTTAAGTTCAGCGTTAGCACAAGTAAAGCCATCCCAGGCCCCTGTGACTAAGAGCTGAACTTTACCTTACTTCAGTTACAGGAAGAAAACAGCTTAAGGCTTAAGAAATATGGGGCTAGAAAGCCCCATATTAGAATAAGAACAGAGCCCAAGCCAAGGGCAGGAAGCCCCTATTAGAATAAGAACAGAGCTCAATGCCCTTGAAAGCCCCATATCAGAATGTAAACAGAACTTGAGGAATTCCTCCCCCTTCTGGAGGTCCCCTAGCCCAGCCCTTAAAACTAAGCTGGAGCCCACCTCGGGGTCCAAGTCCCTGCTCCGCTGTGTTGGGTAAACTTGGACCCAAGCTCGAGCTTGGAAATAAACTCTCGTGTGTTGGCATCGGTGTCGGCTCCTTGGTGGTTTCTCGGATTCGCAATCTTGGGCACAACAATAAAAGTTTCTTTTTGTCTAGCTCCTCTGAACTTCTTTCTGATTGCTAAATTGGAATTGATTTTGCTCAAACTCGAAATATTTTTAATATTCCTCAGTTTGTCTTTTAACAAACAATTGTAATCTTTCAGCACTCTATTAGACTTTGAAAAGAGTGCTCATTCCCGTGTGTTTCTTATATCATGGACTCAAATATATATATATTTTGATATTTTATTTATTTATTCATGAGAGACACACAGAGAGAGGCAGAGACATAGGCAGAAGAAGAAGCAGGCCATGCAGGATCCCCATGCGGGACTTGATCCTGAGACCTAGGATTACTCCTGAGCTGAAGGCAGACACTCAACCACTGAGCTACCCAGGCGTTCTGAAATATGTATATTTAAAGGGAAAACTGGATTTTCCACTCGTCCGGTTCTGACGTCGCCGGCGCTCCCTGAGGGGTGGCGGGACCGCGGAATCGCAGAGATGACTGAGGCTGATGTAAATCCCAAGGCCTACCCCCTTGCAGATGCCCACCTCACCAAGAAACTACTGGACCTTGTTCAGCAGTCATGTAACTACAAGCAGCTTCGGAAAGGAGCCAACGAAGCCACCAAAACCCTCAACAGAGGCATCTCTGAGTTCATCGTGATGGCTGCAGACGCTGAGCCCCTGGAAATCATCCTGCACCTTCCGCTGCTGTGTGAAGGTAAGAACGTGCCCTACGTGTTTGTGCGCTCCAAGCAGGCCCTCGGGCGGGCCTGTGGGGTGTCCAGGCCTGTCATTGCCTGTTCTGTCACCATCAAAGAAGGCTCGCAGCTGAAGCAGCAGATCCAGTCCATTCAGCAGTCCATCGAAAGGCTCTTAGTGTAAACCACTGGCCTCTGTCCCACTCCTCACTGAGTCCAGTCCTCCCCCTGGGGTTGTGTATCATATCGTCTGTTCGCATGTAGTTTCCCCGGCTACCTTCTCTTGTTATATTCTAGTACTAAATCCGGGTTTTGCATTTTTGTATTATTTTTGTTTTACAGGTTGTTCTCTGTATATTAATCCCCCACCCCACCTCTGTCTCCCATTCTACTCTCTACCATCCTTTCCTCCCTTTTGAAAAATGAACTAATGCCGAGAACAGGCAGAAACAGAGTGGTGACACCATTCAGATGCAGGGAAGAGCCTCGTTAGAGATCTGGTTCGAGCTCACTTCCTGTTGCGTGTAGGACATGGTGGATGTGAACACCATTCACTTTGTATCCTTCGTGCCTGGAGTGCAGAATCATTCCATATGTGTTTGTTCTCTAGGGGATTATGGGTCATTAGGGGAGAAAGCATGTATTCTTTGAGGTTGTTAGATGTGTGTCCAAGTGTCATTTGCCAATATGCTCCTGCTGTTTGCTTTGGTAATGTGATGTTCCCCTTTCCCCCAAATTCCAACCATGCCCCTGAGGGTGGCAGGGCAGCAGCATACCAAAGAGATGTGCTGCAAAATTCCAGAGGCTACCTGGGTGAGTTAGACATGGGGCAGCTGATGTAAGGAGTTGAGAAGTGGCTAGGAAAAAAAAGAGGGTCCACTGACGCTGGAATGAAGTCTGAGCAAGTCACAGAGCCCTGACTGGAAGCTACAGCAGAGACATTGGAATCAAGGAAACATTCTCTCTGGTGAATGGAGTTGTCTTCAATGGACACTTGGTACCAGCTCTGAGAGCCCTTAATGCCTGTTTCCTGCCAGAATGTGGGTCAGATGTATGTATTCTTTATCACATCAGAAGGACAGTGCTAGTGTGTCATTCTTGTGAGCATCCTAATAAAGAAATATATTCATAAAAAAAAATAAAGAGAAAACTGTTCCATATAATTTAAATAACTGTAAGAGACTTTGATATATTTTAATATTCATATTCTAAAATATTTATTTTTAGAAATAATGAAGGAGATTGATGGAGCTGATTCTCTTGCTCAAAACTTTTGGATTATAAGTATCAGAGTATCTATAAAAGTATTATCAAACTGATTAAGAGAATAAAAATTCAACATAGTTTTTTTTTTTTAATTTTTATTTATTTATGATAGTCACACAGAATGAGAGAGAGAGAGGCAGAGACATAGGCAGAGGGAGAAGCAGGCTCCATGCACCGGGAGCCCGACGTGGGATTCGATCCCGGGTCTTCAGGATCACGCCCTGGGCCAAAGACAGGTGCTAAACCGCTGCACCACCCAGGGATCCCAAAATTCAACATAGTTTATAGACATTGGGAGATAAAAAAATTCTGTGAACCAATGTCTTATTATACAGTATATTCTTCTTATTTTAGTCCATACTGGTAATTATAATTATGATAATTATATTAGCTGACATATACAGATATTATGTAAGTCATAAACCATGCATTTGTGTACTTAATTTCCACAAATGCCCTAGAAGTTAAATATTGTGTTGAATTTCTATTTTAGGGGACGCTTGGGTGGCTCAGCAGTTGAGCATCTGCCTTTGGCTCAGGGCGTGATCCTGGAATCCCGGGATCGGGTCCCATGTCAGGCTTCCTGCATGAAGCCTGCTTCTCAGACCACTGCCTGTGTTTCTGCCTCTCTCTCTCTGTTTCTCTCATGAATAAAGAAATAAAATCTTTTAAAAAAATTTTTTTTATTCTATTAGAGATGAAGCAACAGAACTTCAATGCTTATTCACTAAAAGAAAGGTCAGAATGAACAAGAACCTACTGCTTATAATATCTTCTGAATTTAGGAGTGGCTAACTGGGGGGCTTTTTTTAGGTGTATGCGATTTGGAGTACATATGTGGAATGAAATATGTACATATATTGGTGTTCATCATATATGATCATGCATTTCTCTACATGCAGAGAATATAATATGCAATTACACGTTCATGATAATCTTTGCGTGTGTACTTGTGTGAATGTATGTATACGTACAGTAAATATGTGCATGTGTATGAAAGACATATATACATGTGTATCTCTATGTATATGTATACATGTATACTCCATTGTATCATGTTTTATACATTTATTAAGATTGGTTTTCATTTAATTACAAAAAAGATGATTTAATAATTAACTATTAAGAATGTTATTTTCTAAACAGAATAAATAAATACTATAATAGGAAGAGCAATGGATTATATAATAACTTGGTTTACAATCATCCTTAAAAAGTTATGTCATGTATAAATGGGGATGCTCCAATAAGCTGGCCCTCAAAAATTGGTCTATCTGAATATTTAATATATATTTTCTTACGAGAGGACTGACATATGAATAAGAACTACCTAAGTATGATGATTCTGTACTGCTATTGATACATTCTTGCTGTGCATTTTAAATTCTCATGAAAAATCCAAAACCCAGGAATAATATATATACATGGACACACTTATATACATATTTTTAAATATTTTATTTATTTATTCATGAGAGACACAGAGAGAGAGAGGCAAACACATAGGCAGAGGGAGAAGCAGGCTCCATGCAAGAAGCCTGATGTGGGACTCGATCTCAGGACTCCAGGATCACACCCGAGCTGAAGGCAGACACTCAACTGCTGAGCCACCCAGGCGTCCCCTGGACACACTTATAATGCTAATTTTGTAAATTAAGTCTCTCTCATTCCATCACTACTTGATCAGAGACATGATAAGTTCAATGAGAATATTAATATAAATGACTAAAGTTTACATCTGAAACTAATATTACACTGTATGTTAACCAACGGGAATTTAAATAAAAACTTGAAAAAGACATTTTTGATTTACTTTTCTGGACTGTGAACCATAAACAGAATTGCTGTGTATTTTTTAATTAATTCAAGCATATCAGCAAAATCACATATCAGTTAATAAAGTTAAACTTTAAGCTTTCATTTTAAAATAATGAGACTCCTTTTTTCATTATTTGTCTTCAATGTTACTTTTAACTAATAATTAGAATCCTAAGCAATTATTTAAACTCCTTTTTAGGTTTTAGAGTATAACTTCCTTTGTATTTACTTCATTTACTATGTTAAGAATTTTAGATTAATACAAATAGTGAAAAAGTTGCCTTCATTCCAACATACTTTTCTAAAGTGGAGAGGAAATATTTTCAGAAAACATATGGGAAAAAAAAAGCATGCAAAAATGGAATAACTCTATGCAGGTTTTAAAAGTAAATATGGAAAAAATAAAAAATAAAATAAAAAATAAAAGTAAATATGACTATAATTTATGGTATAAATGATTATTCTTGGGTTCCACACATTTACTACCATAAATTATTCACGTAGAGGATGAAATTAACTCATTTCTTTTTTTTAAAAAAGATTTTATTTATTTATTCATGAGAGACACAGAGAGAGAGAGGCAAAGACACAGGCAGAGGGAGAAGCAGGCTCCATGCAGGGAGCCTAACGTGGGACTGGATTCCGGGTCTCTAGGATCACACCCTGGGCTGAAGGCGACGCTAAACTGCTGAGCCACTGGGGCTGCCCCAACTCATATTTCAAAGAGATTTTAAGTTCATTATATGCACAAATGTATTTAGAATTTATAAATAAATTATTCATAGAGTTTGATTTCCATGTCTAAGCTTTCTCTGTCTACCGCCTTTGGAATCACCATCTTAAATGAGTTACAGTTTTATTACTTTCAACCTATGTTTAAGGGTGACTGCTTTGGAACCTAAGAATAAACAAAAATAACAGATATATCTATGTAGCACTTATTAAATCTTTAAAATAGTCTAGGTATTTTGATTCATATGTCATCACAGTGAATGTAACCACACTCAAAAGTATACAACTGTATTCCTCACTTCACAGTGGAAGAAATTGAACCTCAGAAGGGTATATAACTTGCCAAAGGCACAGTTAACAAATGAAAGTACATAGTAAAAATGATCCAGGATTTGGTTTGAGTCCAAAGTCAGTAGTTTCAGTACTCTTCAGCAATTAGTAAGGTATAATTTAGTATCCTGGCCTCCAGGATATAGAGTACTTTTATTCCAAATGAGATGAGATGAAAGTGTGTTTGTGTATGTGTTGTGTCATTATAGAGATAAAATATTAATTTTGAAAAACATAAAGTTTCTCAAAATAATGATCCATGTTTTAGGACTGATGAAATTAAATTCTAAAACTTAAGGTATTTTGTTTATCCCACCACAAAAATAGGTTCTTTACAAGAGTGCTCTGTATAATTTTAATTCCGTCTCAATAATAAGTTTTAGATATAGTATATTAGAATTTCACAGTTGTGTGAAATAGTTCTTTGATAAAATTAGAAAAAAATATTAAAGAATTTCACAAAGTTGATTGTGTGCCAAGATTTTTTCTAATATACATGCATAAGCATGTATATATTCATGTAATTCTCATAAAAACTGACATAATATAATTTGTTTTATAGTATTGTACTTGAAAAAAGGATCTGGAAATTTTAGTTAAGCCCTGTGGTTTTATGATATTATCAAAAAAACTAAAGCAAAATTAAATTTAAAATGCTTCATAGTGATTCAATCCATTTTCATACTAGAACGTTTAAACTTTGGGAGACAAGTTAGACACTGACTGCTTTCACGCTGTTTTTAATATAGCAAATGGGAGAGAATCAGATGTACAATAATTTCATATAGTGAACAAGTGAACTAGATCAGGAAGTCTAACTGGAGAATAATTAAGATAACCATAATTATAGAAATCACATATTTCAAGGTTGTTATTTTTTTAATAGGACTTTGAAGAGATTATGGATTCTTCAGTAAGAAGGTTGTGGGATGAAATAGACATCACCTAGTTTTTTAGAGGACCTAGTATAAGAGAAAGGAGACATGGAACCAATGAGAAAATAACCAAGTGAAATCCAAATGGTTACTAGAATATTCAGTTGTTTAAAATCTCTAGAATTGGGATCCCTGGGTGGCGCAGCTTTAGCGCCTGCCTTTGGCCCAGGGCACGATCCTGGAGACCCAGGATCGAATCCCACGTTGGGCTCCCAGTGCATGGAGCCTGCTTCTCCCTCTGCCTATGTCTCTGCCTCTCTCTCTCTCTATGTGACTATCATAAATAAATAAAAATTAAAAAAATATTTAAAAAAATAAATAAAATCTCTAGAATGTAGATAATTGTCATAACTCAAAGAAGGATTCTAAAAAATAACTTTCAATTCCAGTTGACCTTTGAAGAATATGGGGGTTAG